CATGACGCAAGGCGATTGGGAGGGTCGCGAAAGAAGGCCATGGCATGACGGCAAGTGGTATCTTGGGTGACGCACCTTGGCCTTGCGACCCAGGGCCTCGGCGTTTCCTCTGTTGGCCTGCATCCCTTCGCAAGGCGATGACCAGGCACGTCAAAGCCGACCGAAGCGAGGCCAGGCAAAGCGGGCGGGCTCGAGCAAGACAGACGGCAACTCGACTTTGAGAATCGGGATTCGGGTCCGGGCAGGCGTGAGGAGGTTTAGGATCGACGTCTCGGGAGCTCACGATGGCGCGCAAAGAGTGCAAGCTGCATCTAGAACGGGCAAGATGAGAGGAACGGATCGAATGCGCGTGGGACAGGTCGTCGAAGGATCACGGCGTTGCAATTGAAGCTGTTGAAGAGCGCAAGTTGAGGTTGGCAGCTCCAGGATCGTGGAATGCAATGGCTGGGGAAGTTGCTGAATTCACGAACGGCCCCTGTCTGGAAAGGTCCAGTACTACTTGGGACTTAGGAATCAGTGCTGGATTGCTGCTGATAGGTGTGGTAAGGTATGGCGAGGCAAGGCGGGAAGTGAGTACCTCAGGAAAGACGGGAAACGGAACGGACCAGGTACCTGGGGGAGGTACCCCCATTTCAGCGCTCCAATCCAAGTGCGTCCCAGAGAGGCAGGGAGCAGCGGTCAAGTGGGTCGCCGGGCGATGGACACACGACTAAGGTACCTCACCTGAGGTATCTATTCGTACCTACGGATACCCTCCATACCTTCCTCACAGCAGTACGGAGAACCTACCTTGAGGCGAGGAAAGGATCTTCAAACAAGGTACCTAGCATTCCTTCTGAGAGGACATAAGACTGGAGCTCGAGGTAAGGCACATTGCCGTGAATGCCCAAGATCAGCAGGTCTGGGGAAAGAATGGGCGCGACCCTGTTCCCTCTGCGGCCTGGAATTCTTCGGTTGCAGAGTTCTAGCAATGCCAACTGCCAATAATTCCCCCGGATTGAATACTCCGTAATATCCATGTGGTCTCGACTGGGCCTCAATGACCGACTTGCTCGGGCCGCTTGGATCGACCCTTGGAGGAAGTTGTGCTCAATAGAGTCATCAGGTACGAGGAGACGAGGCGATGGCATTTGACCGTTTGCAAGTGAGAGAATGGTCACGTTGACCATATCTTAAAACAAGTTGTTTCAGTCGGTTTGCACAGATTGCAAGAGGAGCTTTGATACTACAGTTGACGGTAGAGGTCTGGTAAGACTGGTCTCAACTTGAGACCAAGCACATTGTTTGCTAGCACTAAAGATATTCTTCATCATTGTGCGCCTGACGAGCGGGGCGAGACCTCGTTACAAAAAGAGACAGTACTTTAAAAAGCAGCAGTGAAATCAGGGTTACTGCGAATACTTCAAGATTCAAACGTTTGTGAGCATCACCATCTCCAAGTCTACACAGTACCTACCTCGTTTGTCTGAGACGCTTGCTGAGACTGCACTGATGAGGCTCTCCCCCCACTGCCGTCCCACTGCCGTCTCATTGGATCGAGGGACCAACCTGGAAAGCTTGGATCATCTCCCGCCCCTGCGGGAACATGGGGGTGGCTGACAGCCAAAAAGTCCGTGCTTGTGGCTGGAGCCAATGATGGGAGCTTGGGATGGAATGACCTCATTCCACCTCATTCTCAGACCTCGCTGATTATCTGAGTCTTATCACTCGTATCACTTTATCGCACCTCTGCGTGAGGCTTGACTCTTGAGCTGTCAAGTTGATCTCCGCCCACTTCGTTCCGACACCGCTCCGTTTGCGGTTGCACCATAGCCAAGTCTCCGGAAAACTCTCACGCCCGCCGCTGGCCATTAGTGATTTGTATCGGCGCCCCCATCTCTCCAATTGAGACTGTTATCCTTTGATCGATGCTTGAGAACCGTCAAAACAACCACCCTTTTCATAGGCTTGAAGCTCCGCCACCACCATGCATGTCTCTCAACTGCTGACCTTAAGCTCTGTGCTCTCATTTGCCGCTGCTTCGCGCATTCAGCAGCCCATCGGCGTTGAATCTTCCCCGCAGGCTCCAAGCTCCTCGCCCTCATCCGCTGCTCCATCTTGGCGCGACGACCTCATCTCTCTGCATCGGTCTCTCATTGAGATCCCTTCCATCTCTGGTAATGAGAGCGCCGCTGGAAAGTTCCTGGTCGATTATCTGACCGGCCGGGGCTATGTCTCGTCTCTGCAATTTCTGCCGCCGCGCAACAACAACACCGAGGAGACCCCTCGATTTAATGTCCTGGCCTGGAAGACAAACCAACGCCAGCCCACACCTCGCGTTGTAGTCACATCGCACTACGATGTTGTGCCGCCTCATATCCCCTACGGCATATCCGACGACAAGATCACCCCCGATACTCGTATTAGTGGAAGAGGAAGCGTTGACGCCAAGGCCAGTGTTGCTGCTCAGATCATTGCTCTCGAGGACTTATTCGAGGTCGGCAAAGTCAACCCCGAAGATGCTATGCTCTTGTTCGTCATCGGCGAGGAGGACACTGGCGATGGAATGCGTTTCTTCTCCGATTCTCTTCAGGAAGCCGACCCGCCGGTGCAATTTGGCTCCGTCATTTTCGGGGAGCCTACGGAGAACAAGCTCGCTTGCGGCCACAAGGGCGGCGTCTTTTGCGATATCTCGGCCAAGGGTGTTGCTGGACACTCTGGCTACCCATGGCTCGGCAAGTCGGCCAACGAAATCATGATCAAGGCCCTCGCCAAGATTATCACGACTGATCTCGGAAGCACCGACAAGTGGGGAAACACCACTGTGAATGTTGGCCAGTTCAACGGCGGCGTTGCTCAGAATGTCATTCCTGCCGCTGCCCTGGCAAGGATCGCTGTTCGGGTCGCCATTGGCCCCGAAAGGGACGGCGGCAACATTGTCAAGGGGAGAATCCAGAAGATTCTTGACGATACCGATGCCGAGTCCCTCGAGTTGACATGCACCCACGGATATGGCGTGGTGGAGGCCAACTGTGACGTTGATGGTGAGATCCCTGCGCTTGAACTCAACAGTCCGAGCAGTACGAACAACTACTGACTGCTCATGATATAGGATTTGATACCCTTGTGGCCAACTATGGCACTGATATCCCGAACCTGAAAGGCTCGCACACTCGCTATCTGTATGGACCAGGCACTATTTTGGTTGCGCATGGCCGCAACGAGAACATCACCGTTGCCGAGCTTGAGAAATCCGTGGGAGGGTACCAAAAGCTGATCCTGCATGCGCTCAAGGACTCTGCTTAGTATCATGCGACGGGTTTCCGGCGGCGCCCTGCTATTACACCATATCCCTTATAGACGAAATCTAATTTTTTGCATACATTGGACTCCAGCCTCTAACTCAAAATGATCATTATCATCCATGCTAAAGAAACAACAGCAGAGATGCCTACTACTGGCCAACTACTTGCGCCCATCTCTCGGGCATGATGTGACGGAAATCAAATTGACCTTCAGCATTCTTGACTACAGCACCCTTCTCCGTAACAACTGCATCGATCAGGTCGTGGGGGGTGACATCAAAAGCAGGGTTCCAGACGTTGACGCGCTGATCCGCCGTCGCCACACGCGCTGTCTGAGTCACATCGACGCTTCCATCGGCCTGAACGACAGCACCGGAAATCTGCGTGAGTTCTTCTCCCTTGCGTTCCTCAATCTTGATACCGGCGCCGGTCTGGGTCTCGAGATCGATGCTGGTGGTGGGAGCGGCAACGATGAACTTGACGCCGTGGTGCTTGGCCAGGACGGCGAGTTGGTAAGTTCCAATCTTGTTGGCAGTGTCACCGTTGCGGACAACGCGGTCAGCACCGACAATGACGGCAGCGATGTTCATCTTGTCCTTTTTCAAATTGAACAGCGCAGCAGCCATGGAGTCTGTGATGAGACTGCTGGGGATGTTCTCGTAGACAAGCTCGAAGGCGGTCAGCCTGCTACCTTGGTTGTAGGGTCTGGTCTCGGTGCAGTAAGCGTGCTTGAGAAGGTTGTTGGACCAGAGTGTTCTGATGATGCCAAGGGCGGTTCCATGGCCAGATGTTGCCAGAGAGCCGGTGTTGCAGTGAGTGAGAACGGACACCTTGGAGTCGGAAGAGGCACCAGCTACCTCTCTCAACCACTGAGCTCCATGGTCGCCAATAGACAGGTTGGTCTGAAGGTCTTTTTGCAGGATTTTCTCAGCTTCCTCAATGTACGCAGCAATGACAGTCTTGGAGTCATCCTGAGGCGCGCTTCTAATACGGGCTTTGAGTTGGTTGATGGCGTTGGTCAAATCGACAGCAGTCGGTCTGCTCTCCTTGAGGTAATCCAAACGCGAGTCGATGTAAGTGACGGTATCTTGAGATGAAGAGGCAGTGCAGCTGCCGTTGTGTAGCTCGACAGCATGGGCGAGGGCGGCGACAATAGCAATAGCAGGGGCACCGCGAACTCTCATAGACTTGATACAGTCAAAAGCCTCTTCGCTGGTGGACACCTCATCGTAGTGGAATTCATGAGGTAGTCTCAGTTGGTCCAGGACTTCGAGACGACCCCGAGTGTACTTGACAGCTTGAAGTCCCGACATTTTGAAGATAGAGTAAGAATGATGACAGTGTTGGAAAAAAAAAAAAGAACGTAAAAGGTATCTCGCTCTAACAAATGTAAGGTACTAAAAGTACAGAGTAGGGTACTCCATGATTCAAGGCAGAGGAGGGGCAATTCTTCCCAAGTCAAAACCAAAAAAAGATTCTGCCGTGCCCCTCCATCAGCGTGCAGCAAGCAGCGTCATCTTGGGCCAATCATTCCAGCACTGGGCAAGACACCGCTCTCGGCAAATCATCGGAGGCTGAGCTACCAAGGTACCTCCAGGCCGGGGCCGACCAGGGGTCCCGCCGTTTCGGCTGCCGTTGGCCGGCGCATTTCGCCAGCTTCCTATCCTCCCGTCCACACTGTCCAAGGCTCCAATTCCAGCAAACGGGTCCCCCTTTCAAGTTCCAGCTCCAAGCTCGCTGAATCGCGCCCAGCGCCCCGTCCCCACCGAAGCTAGAACCTCACCGAGGTGAGTTGTACACCTTGCATTCGACCGGCACCCACCCGCCGCGCAATTTAGTAAATGAAGCCGCGACGGACCATGTAATTTAAAAGTCCAAATTGGAGGAGCCGTTCAAGATGGAGCGGCCTTTTTCAACCTCCAAAGTCACAGGTAAGCTCTGCGCGTCTCATAATCCGTTGTTGTCTCGCTGGCCTACTCGTTCGTACCTTGACTGCGCTGCCCCCAAACTGACCAAGCATGCTATTCGCAGTCGAGTACTTCGATCCCCACGACGTCTACAAGCTCGTCACCCCGGGCCTCATTCCACGACTCCCTCTCCGAAATCTCCATTGGCAGTCACATGCTGGACCTTTGCGATCGATCGATACCCTCCACGTCGAGCTCACACCTGCTGGAGGAGACCCAGCTGCCCCAATCTCGCCAACCATCTCCCCTTCGCTTCGCCGATCAGTCAGCGCCGGCGCAAAGGACGATGGCTTCCAGACACAGTCAATTGGAGGCAAAAGTACATCTTCAGATATCTCCGATACGCCAACAGTAACGGCGCGGCAACCTGGCAAGGAACGGCGTCACCAAATACCAGGACTGAGGCGAACCCCCTACCTCAAGGTCCTGCTCGTTCGATGCGACGACAGCGACACATACAAATCCCAAACAAGGGCGGAGATCAGAGAATGGATCAAGAAAAACACGCCGCCCTCCCAGTCTACCCGGAAGTTGAACACACAGGAGAACCACGATGCCTTTGAGTTCTTGATCATTCATGTCGTAATACCCAATACTTTCGCGGCAAATCAGCCCAGAGTCAGCGGAAAGGGCCTCGATGCTGCCGAGAAGGCAAGGTCATCAAGATGGGGCTCTGGATCCTCAACACTGTTGGAGAAGCTTCGGTCCGACTTCAACAGTTCCAGCAAGGGCGCGATCGATCGGGTGGCCCAGATTCGTATCGGCATCAACGACGTTCCATACGATGTACTGCCTCGAGTTGTTCCCGCCACCCCAACTGGTTATACCGAGTCGCGTCAGGATGCTGAAAACGCATGGGATGACCTTGTTGGCAAATTTAAGGAACTGATTCTGTCATCCTTTGACATGAGGGTGTCCCAGTACGAGGAAGACATCAAGGAAAAGGACGCTCAGCGGGTTCTACCGGGTTGGAACTTCTGTACCTTCTTCATACTCAAGGAGGGTCTTGCGCGTGGTTTCGAGAGCGTCGGTCTTGTGGAGGACGCCTTAGTCGGCTACGACGAGCTCAGCGTTGGTCTTGACACCGTCATTCAGGAACAGGCCACATCTGGAGATCCCCAGACGCACGGAGGCTCCCTCTTGAGCCACACAGAGGACCTCGTGAGGCGAGCCGAGGCTGCTGTAGCGGAACTGGGTGCTGAGGACGGATCTCTAGATGATGATCAGCCTGTTGATCTACAGGCCACGGATGCCTCCAAAACGGACAAGTTCGACGACATTCCTATCAGCGCAACGAAAAAGCCGTACCGCGAAATGATAGTCGCCAACAACGTGTCAGTCTTTGACTTCCGCTGCTACATCTTTGCGAGACAGATATCGCTGCTGCTCCGTCTTGGTAACGCCTGGTCGACTAGGGAAGACCTCCTGGCAAAACTTAGAGAGCAACAGGAGTCCGTCCTTCACGGTGTTGCACCGCAAGCGCTGCCCCCAAAGCAGACAGATGAAGCCGAAAACCTGTCCATGTTGGCCGAGATCTGCCGCAGGACACTGGAGTTTGTGCCGGCTGTCTCGCAAGTTATGAGAGCCGACATCTTGGCCGCGTTGAAGGACAAGCTTACCGAGGAAGATTCCCCGATTCTTAATCCCGTCTTGGCAGAAGCTATTGACAATCTTGTTGCCTCCTTCGCATTTTCCGTCGCACAACAGATCCTTGCTCAAACATCGAGCAAAGCACTGCCCATACCCCCGTCTACGCTGACTCCATCCGACGGCCATGAGCCAAAGTCGTCAATTCCCGAGTTGAAGACTATGTTACACCCTGCTAGAAACTCGTCTCTGCGCGTGGGAACAGGTTCCAACACGAGCACCAGACCATCACCTAGTCCTGGAATATTTCCCGGAGGTACAGGACCTAACCCCGATGACAACACACCAGCCAACGTCCAGTTTCTCAAAGCTGGCCTGGAGGAGCTCGCTGCGCGTCGTGCAGAGCTATACGCCCTGTCTAGGAATGTCCTCCAAGGTAGCGGAAAGAAACGAGGTTGGGATATCGGATGGACATCTGCGCCAGTACTGGGGGAAATGGATGGCAACGACTTTGAAGACGTTGATCTTGACGGTGATGATCAGAAGTCGCAGGCGGACAGCCAGGAATCGCTTTGTATAGGACTGGCTGGCATTGAAAACGGCCTTCTACACACTGCGCTCGACAGCAGAGACGACTTCTATCGTCTGTACGAAACACTAACAGACAAGGCTTTGCGCCATTACACTGTGGCCAACCACACGCATGCAGTCAAGACTAGCATGGCCGACCTCGCCGTGCTCAAGTATCACCTTGGCGAGTATGGCCCCGCCGCCTCATACTTTTACATGACTACACCATTTTTTGGCGAGAACAGCTGGAGCCTGTTGGAGCTATCCATGCTTGTCATGTACTCTCGATGTCTGAAGGAACTCCAGCGTAAGGACGAATTTGTCCGTGTGGGACTGAAGCTCTTGACGAAGGCAGCAGCCGCAGAAAATGAGAAGCTTCAACAGAAGAAGCCGTCAATTGCAGCTCAAATGGAGGTTCAGTACCCCGAGAAAAGCGCAATCGCCGGCTTCCTCGATGACGTGTTGAGCGTGGCCAAGACCCTGTCCAACGAGGTCAGGGTGCCTCTGGGGCATCTTTTCACACAAGTTGAAGTCGTCGGGCACCCAGCCTACCACACTGGCAAAGACTGTTTCTCTTTCACCATTAAGCTAAGAAGCCTGCTCATAGATGACCTGAGCTTGGAGAAGGCTGCCATTCGTTTGTCCCGGACGTCATCCGGAGGAACGAAGGAGCTTTGGCTACATACTTCCGAGGCCAACGCCCTGAAGCCAGGGATCAACGAGTTGCAGCTTACCAGCACTGTAAGTAGCACACCGACGACATATTGAGAGGTGAACTAACAGAAGCCAGACAAACGTTGCTGGTCACTACAGGATTGACCGGGCAGATTTGATTTGCAACAAGGTCGACCTCCACTGGGAGCGAGACGTCAACCAAACACCCAGCAAGACGGCACAGATCTTCCGTCTGCCCGACCTGGAACTCTATCGCCCAGTCGGCGGCCTGAGCTGTCGCCTAACGGCGGCAAGAGACATTCAACTGGACAAGAACAACTCACTTGACTTGGAACTCTTAACAGGATGGAACTCCATCAAGTCCTGTGAACTTTCGGTGAAGCCGTCGACCGGCGGTCTTCGAATCATCTCGACCGAAGCAACGTTCCTTGGACCCGCACTCGAATATGAGAAGCCTTTGGAAGCCGGACTTTTCCGTTTCGGAAGCATCACTGCGTCGTCCGCCATCGAAATGCGTTTTCCGTACACCATCGAGCAAGATGTTCCAAGTATTTCGGCTAGAGTTGAAATGACTTACACTACAGACGAGGGCACTTTCACCTACTCCAATGTGTTCTCGGTCCCTGTGGCGCTCGCCTTGGGCGTTAATGTTCAGGATGTTTTCAAACACAATGCCTTATTCTCCCGCTTCAGCGTCTCGACAGCCTCGCTGAGCCCGCTCAGAGTGTTCAAGACACATCTCATCGACTCTGATGTGTTTGCTGCCCATTCTGCAGCCCAGCCAAACAAATCCGTCGTGGTGTTCCCGAAGCAGCCTGCCAGTCTGCTTTACAAGATTACACGCAAAGCTTCAGGCAACACCACACCGAAGACCCGGCGGACCCTGTATCTGAAGCTTCATTACAGCGTTGTCTTGGATGAGATTATTGCTCTCGTCGAAGACTCCTTGTCGAAGTTTATTGGGGAATCCCCTTTATCTTCATTCTCAGGTCTGTTGATCAACCGCGTCCTTGCAGAGGTGCGGTCAAGCCTTTCAGCTTATGACTTGGAACGGGCTGCCCTCCTCGGCGAGGTTTCCACGGCCTTCGTATCGCCATTGCTATCAGAAAAGATCTTCAGGGGCCTGGGTACAGGGCCTGGCGGCGAAGGAGACGCTTCTACAGCTCTTCGAGCATTTCTTCTCTCCTGGCAATCAGCGCATCCAAAGTTGACCATCAAGGGAATCGAGTCGACTAGTCGATCTATCCTCATTCCTGTCGATGTTCCTTCTATTCCCGTTTTTCACTCGGTCGATATTCAGCTCCCACCGCCCGACGAGCAGATAGCAGGTTCAACCCTCGCCGTCAATCAGCTGCTATCTGCCAATTTACGTCTACGGTGGACCCGCATCTGGGACACAGCTGTCAGCGATGGCAAAGGCATCAATAGGGACTACGAGTTCAGCTTTGATGTGACTGGCACGGGTGACACATGGCTCATCGGTGGCCGGAAGCGCGGCAACTTCAAGAGTTTGGGAGTAGACAAGTCGGATGCCAAGTTTGGGGAATCCGAGTTGCACGTTCCCGTACTCATCGTCCCGCTGCGCGAAGGGCGGCTGCCCTACCCTAACGTGGAAATCCGCGAGGTCAAGAAGGAGGAAAATGACGAGACAGCTGGACACCATGAGATCGACTACCAAAACATTGGAGAAACAGTACGAGTCGTTGCTGACTTGCAGCGGGTGACGTTGAGTCTGGATGCTAGTGGCCCCAGTGGTGGTCCATTGGTTCTTGAGAGCGAGCGACGAGAGTTCCATCATCGTATTTTGTTGTGATAATACCGCAATTATCTTTCTTCGGCCACTTGGCAGTCTGTTGTAGTCAATGAGAAATACAATGACAACAAGTTGAAGCCATTCGCATTGGGTCCGCTGCTTCGTGAGCTCATATGCCAAGCACAGTGCCGCTCTTCTCGGGGTTGCCGATCTCTCCATGTAAGCTAGCCGCAACTTCACGTTGCCCGACGAAACCATGTGATTACTTGCATTTACCCACTCGTCCCACTTTGAGGCTCCGCGATGGCTGGGGAACTCGGACCAAGGCAATGCGTGTTTGCAAGCGACCAACACATCCACTATTGAGTCCAAGATAGGAAGGCGATTGAGCTGTGCCTCGTCCTCGTGACCGCCAGGGCGTTGTTGGCTGCTGTGCCGTAAAGCAAGGTAGTCATACAACGGGCCTCATTCTGAATGCAAGGAAAGTGGTCGGCACTATTACCTACATGTGACGTGAGTGCATCTTGGCAGCTATAATTCCAAGTGTATATACGTATCGGATACATGTCGCCTCTTGAGCACATTTATGCTACTGAGATCTTTACCGAAACAAAATAACAACCACCAAGCTCCAAGAAAACAAGTTTTACGTCAATACATTGCTCAGAGCTCGACTTTTCTCGGCTCAGAACCAAATCACACCGAAGCCTTCTGCTTCTGACCTATTGCCAAATAATTTCATCGGTACCCGATCAGTCCGATTGAGAGATTCTCGCCCTTTCACTCATCGCACCGCAAGCATTCACATCACAATGTCTGATCAACTCAGCAAAACCGAGAGTCAAACGCCGCTTGTGAGGCACGAAACTTCCGACTCCAAGCCGACGACCGCACCCAAGAAGAGGTCACTCTATCAACGCATGCAAGACAGAAACCGAGCCGAGATTTCAGAGGAGGATTTGCAAAAATACACGGGAATGAACAAGGCTGATTTGAAGGATTAGGCCAAGGACCGCCCAGGGGTTGGACCAAAGACGCCCGCTAACACGGGGAAGAAATTCGATCTTGGGAGTCCATGCGCGTCACTACAGGAATTATGTGACGTGGATTATGTGCAATGGGATGAGCATGCGCTTGAGGATAGGAAAGCTGGGCCGAATGTCATGAAGATTGTCGCAAAAACGACGCCGTTAATTACGGGCAGCAATTAACGCCATATATACCCTACGACAAAGATTCTTGACCCAGACTACTTAGTCGATATGGAATAGAGTCTAAGACCAACGGTTGAAGCACAAAATTTGTGATGGCTTCTAGGATGCTTTTGGTACAGACTGTAAGCGTCTAGCGAAAGGGTTTCCAAACCACATTACCTTCCACAATCAAGAAGCAATTCATTGTCCTTTCGACAGCCGCACGATGTAGGCATAAAATCTCCTGTTATGATCCAGATTTCTTCAAAGTTTACTCCATAATTCAAATTTCTGATTGAATGCCAGGGCGAGATTTGAATCGGGTTAGCACGTCGTTTGGTGTTTCCTAAAGGCCCAAGAATCAGCATTCTTGCATCATGGACCAATGGCGTGACAAAATATCAACCTGATTCTAGAAAAGAGCGATGAGATGCGCAGCGAAGATGACTGAGTGAATTTGCATATAGGAAGCGAATCCATGTTTGATCAGATCCCCTCGCATCCCTTTTCTTATGGGAGCGGAAGCTGCATCGCATTTCTTTCATGAGCTTTGACTCTAACGCTGGTTGCAGCGCGCTCTCATCGTCGAATCGGACCCGAGCGTCACTGATTCGGACCACAGCCTCAGGAAATACCGGATGAAAGACGCCAGAAGCACGACGCATCCATCAATCTACCGTATTATGAGAGGAAGACCCGAATGGCGGAACGGCAAGTGGACTCTATGCCCCCCACTTTCCGGGCCGACACCTATTCGATACCACGTCGGCAGTGGGTTTGAGGGGCGGGAGCGGGGGATCGACACGAGCCGGGAAAATCAAACCTCGTGAACCTGGACTGACCATTACAGCTATCCATCACAGCTTAAGTTAGCCGGAATCGATACTGCTAATTACTTCGAAGATTGACGACTGCATAGACTTCGCTTATCAGAGTACGAATCTGTCTTGGATACCGCCCCATTCAGAATCAAGCGTACTACACGATGGCCGCGAACCAGAGTCTGGCAGGCAAGATTGCCGTGGTTTCCGGCAGTTGTAGTGGTATTGGGCATGCAATAGCAAAGGAAATCAGCTCTCGAGGGGCCCACGCTGTGATCAACTACCCACACGCCTCCCTAGCTGAGGAAGCGGCTGCGGCAGTCGCAACTCTTATCACCCCCGGAATCGCGATCGAGGCCAACATGAGCACGGTGGACGGACCGAAGAAATTGATTGAGAGTGTAGTCGAGGTTTATGGTCATATTGACATTCTTGTTAATAACGCCGCAATTGCCATCAACCTGCCATTCGAAGAACAAACGATCGATCACTGGGATTCTCTGGTCAACCTCAACGGCCGTGGAACATTTCTCTTGACGCAGCAGGCTCTGCCATACCTTACACATGGATGCGGACGTATTGTCAACATTTGTTCTATTAGTTCCCGCGCTGCCCCTCCGCTGCAAACTATTTACGCTGGAACCAAGGGCATGGTGGATTCATTCACCAGGGTTTGGGCAAAGGAGCTCCCCCCAAAGTATGGATGTACCGTCAATGCCGTGTCCCCCGGCCCTACTGCGACACAAGGGTTTTTGAGCGCTGGGGACGAAGCAATGAAGGTTCTAGGACCTACAATTGAAGCAACGCCAGCAGGGAAAAGGCTTGGCCAGCCAGAAGAGATAGCGGACGCAGTGGCGTTTCTTTGCGAAGAACGATCACGATGGGTCAATGGAGAACACATGTTCGTTAACGGGGGGCTTTACATGGACTGAAGGTGAAGAAAGTATAGGAAATATACATGTATTGAAACTTTGTGAGACTAAGCGAGTGACCGTTTGGCTTTCTACTGCCTTTGTCTTGTAAAATATCACACACTCGCGGAAAAAGAGTGTTGTTCGGACACCGAGCGTACAACGTAGCGCCTACTGAGGTGGCCTATTCGCCGACCTCTCGATCTGGATGCCAATGGAGAAACTATCTGGAAAATTTCCACTTCCATGTTGCCTGTCGCATTCGATCTCCAAAAGAATAGAAGGGAATCGTTGACAAGAACACGGCCGCAGATATACCTGCCAAGGTTCCAAAGACAGAGAGATATCCTGATTCTTGAACCCAAACATTGACGTAGAAACTTAGAAGAAATCCAAAAACAGCTACTGGAATGTGAGACCTTCAGATTCAATACAGGAGATTTTGAGGGTCCAAGTTATCTTCTACACAAACACATCTTGAACACCCCCAAGGACTTGTCTCACCTTTGAAGAAGGATTGCGTGACTATAACCTCGCCGGCTATAGGTCGGTACGAATCAAGGATATAAACCAGAGCCACGTTGTTAGACTGGACAGTGGTGAAGTTTACTATTTCAAACTTAGCTTGTGAAACGCCAATTTCTTTTTGTATTGTTCGTATGCGTAAGAGACTCAGAGAAAAATGGATGAACATACCAAGACCGATGCCAATGGTGGGACATATCCAATGCAGTTTCTTCCCGAAGCCTAAACCGTATAGAATGCATGATAGGGGACCCGTGATCAAGCTGATTACCATGGCAGGTAGCCGCATTTCAGGGATCCTAGTTCCGCCGCTCCGAATCGTCAGCTTGTCTGCCACCCAGTCTGTGAATTGACCGCCGCAAAAAATGGCTAGAAAGGAGCCAAGTATTGTAGATAGGTACGTCAAACCAGATTGCCAGGTCTGAAAATCGTAGACCGTTGAAAAAGCGTTCGAGAAGTTGGCGGATATCACAACGATCATGCCAGTCGTGATTGCGTTGATCAAGGTTGCCCAGAACACAGCCGGCAGAGCAATGGCGACAAGAGGACGGAACATCAGAGCCAGAAGAGGTTCGCTAGTGTAAGCCCCCGAGAAGACTTTCATGGCTGCCAAGTAGGTCTTCCACTTCGATGGAGATGACGCGTGTGAAGAAGGAGAAGGAGGGTCCTCGAGACATTAAGCAGCTCGAGGCTCGGTTCCGCCAGTTCCAATAACTATAACGGGTAAATTTCGTTAGCTAGCTACGGTAAATAACGGGGAACGTTGCGATCGAGTTTAAGGGTAACTAGCGGTAGACAGTAATAGCAATTACTAACAGGCAGAGCCCGATCGTCCAGGTTATAAGCACGGGCAACAGTAAGAGCATATCGTTTATACTACCAGCATTCTACTTACCAGAGGGTACTATAATCATTATTACGCCGCTCGTAGCGCTTAGGACGGATATATGTAAGCGATATATAAAAGCCAGTATTACGTCGCATATCTAGCAGAGCTAGAAGAATAACTAGGCGGCTTCAATCGTCTTTATAACGCCAAAGTCGGCCATTATAAAGGGGTTCCGAGACTTCGTTATACGGCTATAAGGCCGACAGGCGCTAGACCGCATCGTAATAAATAAATGCCACGTCGTATTAGAATACGCAGGCGTTCCGGCCCCGCCTTCTAGAGCTTAGGGTATAAACAATATACTTAATAGTAATACTTATATGTTACGGCCAGCTAGTCGTAGGGGTAGTTTGCAGAAGTTGAGGCTGCGGAACTGGTAACAGTAATCGTAGTCGGGGATAGCTTCAGGGAAGCTATGTCTGTCAATCGTAAGGGTAGGTAAGGCTTCGGTGATCAATCGTAGTCTTGTCAAGGTAGTAGCTGAAAGCGGATGTTAATCCTGATACGAAGTTAATTGCTGAAGAGCTATGGAAAGTCTGTCCTAGAGCCCAGCTCGAGTCCATCCTTATATACAAGTCCGATCCTAACTGAACAGTGCTGTACAGTCCACTTTGTCTGGATATGTTGGATATGCCGAATATCCAACATATCCTTGACTCGGTTGGATATGTCGCATATCCAACATATCCTTATCCCTTATCATATCTCTTATCATCACGTGACTTGTACCATAGTTCTTCCGTTCCTGGGGTTTCCCCAATGTTCCGTCCCGTCCTGCATATATGATGCGCCGTAGCCGCTAGGCGTCAGCGGGGCACGCCCTGGTCTTCATGTTGGGTCGTAACATCAGCTCTCCCCTCAAAGGTCTTGTCCTCAAGGCCAATATAAGTAAGTAGTTGTTCCCAGGTTGGGGAATCTGCAAGCTTGCTTCTTTGTTCATATTGACTCGTAATGTCAGGTTACGTTCAAAAACGAAAGGCCGTATCGTCGCCTGAAGTTCGTCCTGCAAAGAAGACTGAACAACGGAATTCTCTTTTAAGTCTCATCTTAGGCAATCGGACCATTATGCCTGTTTGTTCTTCCTGCGAGATTCGGGGTTTTTCCTCGTGTGAGGCTTCGCTTTCTGATTCTTCTCGGTGCGCTGAATGCGTACGCGGTGGGAAGTCTTATGCGATCTCCAGGGTTTATCTTCTCAACAGCTTCGTCGAATTGGTGATCAACACCAGAAGCTAGAGGATGCTCTAGAGCAGGCCGAAGAGCAGCGCCGTACTTTAGATGCTAAGGTGGAGCGTCTTCGAAAGCAAAAGAAGATGTGGTTTGAAAAAATGATGCGCGCGGTGCGTCGTGGTATCGACAGTGTGGAGGAGTTGGAGCGTGTCGAAAAGGAGGAGGCGGTGGCGGAGCAGCATCGACAAGAGGGGGTGCGTCCTCCTTCCGCTGGTTCCGATCGTCTTCCTGCGGACTTTATCGGGGAGTGGGATACGGTTTATCCCGACGTCGTTTTGTCTCCGTCCTTGTTGGCTGAGTTTGGTTTATTGGATTCGGGTTCGTTAGTGCCGACTTCCGGTAGTCCTCGAGGAGTTGCCGGGAGTTCTGGAGATTCGTAATGGGTTCCCATGTATTTTCCTCGTGTCCGTAGTTTTTCCATTTAATCAAGAATTCTCGTGTCTCGTTCCTGACTCTGTGGTCGATGATTCGTTCGACTTCATACTCTGGTTGATTTGATTCCACAACGATGTAATCGTTCGTGTGCGAGCCTCGTGGTGCTGGCTCGAGGAGTGAGATGTGGAATACCGGGTGACACTTCATTGTGTCTGGTAGTCTCAATTCGTAATTGACTGGTGAGACTTTCTTGATGATCTCAAAGGGTCCAAGCTTTTTATGGTCCAATTTGTCGCTTGGTCGTTTCGTTTTGATGTTGCGTCGAAGGAGATAGGCGCTATCCCCCTCTTCCAAGGTTGGTCCTCCAATCCTTGATCTGTCGGCGTTTTTCTTCATACGCTGCCGTACAAACTCGAGGTCCTGAGAAGCCTTCTTCTGGAGCTCTCTGAGTTTTGTCACGTCGGCCACGGCTTTCACGGCCTGTGGTCCCTGTCGTGCTTCTCCGTACGCTGTTGGCTGGAATCCGTAGTTAAGATAGAACGGGGATTCTCTCGTGCTTTCGCCAACTGCGCTATTATATGCGAATTGGGCCATTGGTAGTAGCGATACCCAATTATTCTGGTCGTAGTTCACATAACAACGAAGGTATGTCTCGAGGATTTGGTTAATCCTTTCTGTCTGCCCATCGGTCTGCGGGTGAAAAGAGGTTGACAGCTTATGGTCTGCACCGAGTTGCGAGATCAGGGATCTCCAAAACTTAGCGGTGAACAGCTTATCTCTGTCAGAGACAATTTCCTTGGGTAGACCGTGGTTGGCAACAATAGTCTTGAGGAAGGTATATGCCAGTTCCTCTGTATTGCTTGCTTCTTTGTATGGTACGAAGTAGGCGAACTTGGTAAGTCGATCGACGATGACCAAGATACTGTCGTACAGTACGTTCGTGAGTGGCTCTCTGGACTTTAGTAGTTTGACGATAAAGTCCCATGAGATTGAGTGCCATGCTTCGGGTGGTATCGGAAGCGGTTGCAGCTCTCCATAGGGCTTATGGGGGCTGTTCTTGCTCTTCTTGCAAATGTCGCAATCCTTGATTGCTTCGGCGACTTCTGCTCGCGTGGCAGACTTGTCGTAATGTTGTCGAATTCGTTTCCATGTCTTTGTGACGCCTTGGTGACCGTGTGCCTTAGCGCTATGAATTTCCATGATGAGCTCAGGGGTCATTCTTCCAGTCGGGCTGGTATTGACCTTCCTAGCTATCGTAAGGAGCTTCGTAGTAGGTACAAGGTTGCCATCGTCGTCGTGTTTGAGGATAACCTGTGTTTCCTCGGGGACCTTGACTTCGTGGTCAGGTCTTCTGCTGAGAGCGTCGGCTCTGCTATTCTCTGAACCTTTTCTGTAGATGATTCGGAAGTTGAATTCGGAGAGGAATTCGCTCCATCTAACTTGTCGTTTATTTAGGTTCTTGTTCGTTGTGAAGTTTGCAAGATTCTTGTGGTCTGTGTAGACCGTGACTTCATGCTTGGTTCCTGATAACTGTGGCTTCCATTCTCGAAAGGCTTCGATTATGGCCATCAGTTCCTTGTCGTGGATTTGCCAATTCAATTCTGCTCCGTGGAATGCTTTGGAGTAGAATGCGCAAGGGTGAAGTTTTCCTTGTCGTCTCGTTGTCCTAGGACGCTCCCATGGCGAAGTCTGAGGCATCGGTCTCAACTTCGAATGGTGTCCTTGGATCTGGGATCATAGTGGTTGGTTCGGAAACCACCATGTTCTTGACTTTAACGAATGCTTCTTCGCATTTGTCGTCCCATACGAATGGCGTGTCCTTTCGTGTCAGGTTATTGATAGGTCTAACTATGTTGGCATAGTCTTTGAGGAATCGTCGATAGAAATTGACGAATCCTAAGAATTCTTGAAC